TGAGGTAACCACAAAGACTGCCATTGCATGCACGCAGTTTCATCAAATGAGGGCAAAGTGGAAGTGAAGGGTACCCAAACTTGTTTACATTGAAACAATAGCTTTGCAATTATCCTATCCCAGTGAAACTATACTTTAGTGTCCATTTTGAATCTGAGCAGGAACAAAATGTACACAATTGAGATTCAGAAATCAAAAACTAGTTTTTCCTTCAGTATGCAGAACACCTAATTCTCAGGATAAATTCAGAAAATTCTGTTGCCAAAACTAGCATACCTGGAGCACTTGTTAGTGCCAATACACATGGAAGCAAGTATTCAATTTCACATTTAATATACTAGTACCCTATCTTTCTTCAAATTGAGGGTCCTGAGAAACAGAAGCAAGGTTTAAGTCAATCATTGGGTGAAAGAAAAGGTTTGATTTCATGACCAGTATATGCTCATAAGACAGTTTGCAGAAATTTGTAATGTACGCATTACCAAGACTTATTATAGACCAGTTCCTTAGTTTGAAAAAGAAAAAAAAATCAACATGAACTCAACCAAACTCTCGTATAGACAAATTTTAAAATTCTCACCTCATATTCTACCATCCTTTTATTTGCAAGATCTGCCTTATTTCCAGCCAATGCTATAACTATATTTGGACTGGCTTGTCTTTGTAGTTCTTTCACCCATGTCTTCGCACGTGCAAATGTGTCCTAGCAGTAAACAGGAAAACAAATATCCACAAATAAATTACGGATTGAACACAATTCATCCACTCTAGGATTGTATTAATTTAAAATTGTTGGCTTCTTGTTTTAAAACTACAGCAAAATTTTATTTTTTCGCCACCACCATTTGTATATACAGTATAATAATTTGAGCAAAGAGTGATGAAGGCATAAGCATTACGATAAGGCCTTGTCTTTGGAAAATTGACAAACTAAAAATAGTAATTGAGGAACACTATGCTAACAATTCTTTTAAATGATCTGAACTGCGATAACAATAATTAAGCTCTTGTTGGTCTTCCTCCAATTGGCATGTTCTACACTGTTCTAACTATTAGAAGCATGTCTCGAGAAGTACACACACACTCACTGCATGCTGGATCATTGAAATACAACTTGTTTTGACCATAGATTCACACCTCTGCCATTTATGCAAGTGCATGCACTACTAATAGAGCAAATACCATATTCAAATATTTATGTTAATCTTTTGAGAGTGAAATTAGAGTGAATTGTAGACCATGGAAATAGTCAAATGCACAATTTCCTGCAATTCCTTTGCATTTTCAAAAATGCATTCACAAGCAGAGCAATTTCATGAGATATCAAACTGAATACCGATTGTTAGCTACTAGACTGCAAGAAGGCCAGAATTTTTACATCCAGCCAACCAAACAAAAAACAATACACAGATGGCAAAAATAGCATCACCAGGTTTCAATTAATTGTTTATTCTACTGATTTTTACAATCCGATATAAAAACAGTGAATACAACAATTAACAGTTAAATTAACACATGGCTTGTTTACATACATAAGGACGGGCAGATCTTAGCAGATGAGAATTGGGATATCATTACATAGCCACCTATAGCAGATCACAGCATAAAATGAACTACAATGGGTAGGAAAGATCATGAGCATAGAGTGGGAGGATCATAGTACAGGGCGGGGAAGGTCATATGCATACAGATTAACCATTTTGATTGTAATCACTGAACTAGAATGTAGAAAAAAATATGGAAGTTACCATTAACAACTCATTAAAGATATAATTTAAAAAAAATCAAAAGCAGGTGTAATGTCGAGCTTATAATAGGTACAGCAACATAGAAACAAAAGTGTTGAAGTTATTCATGCTGTTAATTTAAGTTTGAATGACTTTATATTCACTAAGTCCACACTATTGTTAATTTATTTATCATGGATTTAACAAAATTTCCCAATCAATCTGATTTGATTACTGCAAAATACTTTATTTTCTCTTGGAATTAATTTTCGTTATTTTTGCTGAAGGAATGATTCAGAAAATAAGCAAAATAATTGAACAGTTCTAGGAGATATTTGTTATTAAATTTATTGCAAATGTTGAGCGCTGAAATTATAAACAAAAAGTTAAATGGCACCCTCATTCAACAACATTCACACAACGCGACAAACCACATGAAATTCCTCATCCAAAATAAAATAAAAAAAAACTTGTTCGAAGAGTGTTGTTGGAGACACATTAAAATTAATTAAAAATTTAAAATTAGCCTTTCAAACTAGCTTGACAACTGATATTTGAGATGCACAACATGAAAACTGAACCACATCAAAATTTATAATACTTACAGAAAATACATTTGAATTTATGTCTAGTTTACAGTCTAATTCCAGAGCATCTTTGTGACAAATTCAATTTAAATCTGATTTTTTGAGATATTAATTAGATAATATGTACGTTTTTTAACATAAAACTAATCATTTTAGTGGATTACCCCCAATGAACCAAATGTTATGCAAATTTATCAATTTAGGTCTGTGTATTGTTGAGGGCGCATATGTACAAAGATTCATTATAATGTGATGATCAATCCTAAAAAATTTAAGTTAGAAAGTAAATAATTGAGCAAATTGGATAATTATAATGGATGTATACAAACCTAAAGCTAGATCATTGCATTGCTTTAGATTACATATATACCAATATTCATTGAAATAAGGTAAAAATTGATTATGCAAATGAGGGAATTATTATGCAAATATTATTCATCTAAAACTAATCAAGTCTGTGCATTGTCCTATGACATATGTACAAGTTTCATTGAAATGTGATGAGTACTTGAAATATCAGTGGAAAATCTAAAAATTGACTAATCATTATGCAAATTAGGTAATTAATTGGCATGATTTATTACCCAAATCTAATCAAATCGGTGCATTAGTGCAAAGCATCTATGCAACAAGTTCATCAAAATCCAATGAGTAGTTCTTTAGATATTGGTGAAAGTCATGGAACAGCTAAAAGTTACCTAATTATGCAATTTAGGTAATTAGATATTCATGGATTTTAATCAAAACCTAATCAAATCTGCGCATTTCCCCAGAGCAATTCAAAAATCACTAAAAATATGGATTTTAGAAAGAACTCCAAAATCTATACAGGCCAACTATACCTACAGATTAACCATTTATACACAAGTTTGATATCAATTGGATGAATATTATTGGAGTTATTGCGCCCACAATGCCGACAGACTTCCTTCATTTCACTGCAGGCTGGCCAAAAATAGTAAAATTAAATAATCATGAAAATTAATGCTTTTACAGAACTTGTTTATTGATTAGACCGTGGGAAAAGACTGACTGCCATCCACACATTACTCGTACTGAGATTCCACAAGAAATTAGGAGAGATACAATAGCGAGTTCATACCTGATTCGTAACATCATAAACCACAATGGCAGCTTGAGCCCCTCTGTAATACATGGGCGCTAGACTGTGATATCTTTCCTGCCCTGCAGTGTCCCAAATTTCAAATTTAACTGTCGTGTCATCCAGACATACTGTCTGTGTTAAAAATGCAGCTGTAAGAGAAGATAAATTATGAAGCCACAACTAAAACGGGAAAAATTATATGCGGATTCTCGAGCCAGCACAACTTCAGAATAAAACATTACAATAATAAAGCCTTATAATATGAATACACCTCATGTGTGGCCAGGATATTACCAAGAGAGAATGGAAAATGTATCACTATCACATGCATGTAAAAATTACTGACGTGAAACAAGATTTATTTAATGATGTATTTAACATTTTTTTCAGGGTTCAAATGAACAAGCTAACCCCCCAAGCAAATCATTCCACTATTAATAGTTGGGCTAACCTTTTTTGGGAGCCTATTAGAGTTACCAATTTGAGAAACACAAGAATGAAGAATAATCACTGAAATTCCCTACTATTGGACAAGTAGTTGTCAGAATCAAAGTAAAGAGCATGCATGCTGCATTATAAAAGCAATTTTTTTTATAATATTTCAGTGTTTCCGTTAGATTTATTTCTATACGCATTCAGTTTTTTTTTGCGTACAGTGTTGCAAAATATGCGTAAAATCGAAGTAGGTGTGAACAAATGTAAAATCAACAATGAACACTTGTCCAAGATAATAACTGTTCTAAATTTGTAACATAAATAAAGGTAATTGCTATTTTAAACGTGTTGTGTCCTCGTAATTACTGTTGTATTTACGTAAGACAAAGATCTCCACGAGTTATGTTCGTCATTATTAATTTCGTGTATTGTTATTTTCGACGCTGACGCTGCTGTCTGAAAGATAACATGGCTTCCCTAAAATCAAAGTCACCAACTGCAGGCCCTTCCATTGTAATCATCATTAGATCGTTTATAACTTCTTCATTGAGACGGCTTCTTCTTGAAGTTTTAATGCAGTTTTGCGTGCTAAAACCACGCTCACAAAGAACTGATGATACCGGAATTACAGCTGCAATAACGGCTAGTTTTGATATACAGTAAAACCTGTCAAAACCGACCCCTGGATAAACCGACCTACTGTCAGAACCGACCGATTTATGTAGCCCCGAAATTTCTCCATAGACGCCTATGTTAAAACAACCTGTGAAATCCGACCACTGTTTACTCCGAACACCGACCGCATTGATCGGTCCCAAGTCCAATATTCACACTGAATACATCGACCATCCGACCATTTGCACCACATCCGCTGTCTAGTAATTCGGTCTGCCCGACCTAAAAAGTGTGCATTGTGTCCAAATTCCGCGAACGTCACAGAAACAATACCAAATCTCACACTACAAGTAACGTCCCGTGTAAAACAATGGCAACTGATTACATTTTTCACACCACACGCCCACGCATCGCGTGGTGTCTGGACAGTATAATGACCCCGGATATAAACAAATGATCGGGGTCATCACCTTCAATTGTGGTGAAGCACACTGCATTATCACTTCTTCAACGCTCAAAAGACATTGAGTTTTCTTCTTTCCATAACGATTCTGATCGACAATTTTGTGCTTTCGAATGTTTCCGTAAAGGGGGCTTCAAGATTGAAATTTATGATGACGAAGAAGCAGACGACAACAAAGAATTCGGAAACCTTATTTAGCAAGTTGCAGACCCGCAAACACAGTGTAGCGTTGT